CACAGCAAGCAAAACAGATCTCGTTTCTGATCTTTGTTTGATAGGATTTGTTTCTATCCCTGATGAAGGGAATCTAGCAAACCCCCAAAACACATTGGCTGTGATTGGCCATTATTCCCTGTAGAAGGGTTTGCCCCTCCAGATTGGACTGCTCACATTTTGCCTTCTGCTTTATGTAATGATGTCTTGCACAGGTGGGCAGCCTATATCTTGCAGCACATGATGGCTTCTGGTTTGTACCACATTCTTTTCCTCTCCCCAGACTGAAGCCGGTACACACGTAGAATAACTTCCTTCAACCCGCGGGCTGAGCGAAGAAATACTACCGATTCCTCCATCCGCCTTATAAGCATTGATGGAGCGATCCCTGGGGGGGTCCATTGTATTCTGTCCAACCGGCTCCTTCATATCAGCTGATGGAGGGTTGCCGGACGGAAGGGTGCAGACAGCAGCACTCGCTGTGTAATTTTTAGCCGGTTCATCAGGAATTGGACATTTGTACCATGTATACCCAATTCATCAATCATAACCAGATATAAGCTGTAACCAATGGGATGCACCGATACTGGCATATGTATCGGTGTCAATACGGAGCATTTGGGTGACTACTTGTACTCATCCAAATGCTCCATTCTGATCACAAGGAGATTCCCTCTGACTGGCAGTGCCACAAGGGAGCATGGAGCGGGCTTCCCGGCCAATCAAGAAGCCGGGCGGCAGGTCAAAACCCACCTCCCTGATTGGCTAGGAAGCCAGTTGTACACTGCCTACCAACATTGCAAGGCTGCCTGGCTTCCTGACCATTCGGGAAGCTGGGCAGCATGTCATGACCAGCCTACCAGCTTCCTGATTGGCTAGCCAGCTTCATGCTGCCCAGCGACACTGCAAGGCAGCCTGGCTCCCTGATCCAATCAGGAAGCTGGGCAGCACGTCATGACCCGCCTCCCGTTTTTCTGATTGGCTAGGTAGCCAGCTTTATGCTGCCTAGCGACACTGAGGCAGCCTGGCTTCCTGTCCGACCAGGAGGCTGAGCGGCATGTCATGACCCACCTACCAGCTTCCTGATTGGCTAGGAAGCCGGGTTCACACTGCCTGGCCTCCTGACATATCAGGAAGCCAGGTAGCAGGTCATGACCCCCCTTCCGGCTTCCAGGTTGGCTAAGAATCTGGCTTCACACTGCCTAATGACACTGCGAGGCAGCCTGGCTTCTCAACCCATCAGGAAGCCAGGCTGTCTCGCAGTGTAGTGAGGGAGTGTAAAGCCAGCCTCCCAGCCAATCAGGAAGCGGGGAGGCAGGTCATGACCTGCTGCCCGGTTTCCTGATTGGCCTCAAGGGAAAGGTTAGAACTCACTGATACTGAGTACCAATACCGGCATCCTGTTTATCTCCCAGGGAAGAACAAAGGAGAACAAAGGAGAACACACAGATCCGTCTCTACCAGTCTCTTCTATTGGAGGAATTGGCTGATGATGATGATGATGGAGGAGGAGGAGGAGGAGGAGGAGGAGGAGGGGGGGG